AAAACACCAGAAAATGGAAAGATGTCCCATGCTCTTGGGTAGGTAGGATCAACGTAGTAAAAATGGCAATCTTGGCAAAAGCAATCTACAGATTCAATTCAATCCCCATCAAAATCCCAGTACAATTCTTCACAGACCTTGAAAGAACAATTATCAACTTTATATGGAAAAACACAAGACCCAGGATAGCCAAAATAATCCTGTTCAACAAGGCAACATCAGGAGGCATCACCATTCACGACTTCAAACTCTATTATAGAGCTATCTATAGTCCTCAAAACAGCTTGGTATTGACACAAAAATTGATAAGTAGACCAATGGAATAAAATTGAACACCCCAATATTAACCCACACACCTACAAACACCTGATCTTTGACAATGAAACTAAAATTATACAGTGGAAAAAAGAAAGCATCTTCAACAAATGGTGCTGGCATAGCTGGATGCTGGCATGTAGAAGACTGCAGATAGATCCATATATATTGCCATGCACAAAACTTAAGTCCAAATGGATCAAAGACCTCAACATAAATCCAGCCACACTGAAAATCTTAGAAGAGAAAGTGGGAGGTATCCTTTAAAGAATTGGTACAGGAGACTGCTTCTTGAACATAACACCAGCAGCACAGACACTGAGATTAACAATTAATAAATGGGATCTCCTGAAACCAAGAATCTTCTGTAAGGCAAAGGACACAGTCAACAAGACAAGAAGGCAGCCCACAGAATGGGAAAAAATATTCACTAACTCCACATCTGACAGAGGGCTGATCTCCAAAATTTATAAAAAACTCAAGAAGCAAGTCTCCAGAACACCAAAGGATTCAATTAAAAAGTGTTGTACAGAACTGAATAAGAGAATTCTCAATAGAGGAGTCTAAAATGGCTCAACATCCTTAGCCATCTGGGAAATGCAAATCAAAACAACTCTGAGATACCATCTTACTCCTATCAGAAAGGCTAAAATCAAAAACACTAATGGCAGTTTATGCTGGAAAGGAAGTGGAGAAAGGGGAACACTCCTCCATTGCTGGTGGGAGTGTCAACTCGTACAGCTGTTGGGCCTAAGAAAGGCTTGGATGCAAGGCCCAGTGTAATCTCCTGAGCCTGACTTGAGTTTTGGGCTCGGATGTGAGGCCCAGTGTAACCTCTTGAGCCTGGCAAGAGTTTAGCCACCTGTCTCTAACCTGTAACCTCCACGTGGGGGTGACTCAGCCAGATCTGATGCAAGATTGCCCCCTACTTAGCTACCTGCCTGCTTGGTGGAATACTATTGGCCCTTAACTCCTCACGTCACCTTACCCTATCCCAAGATTCCCATCCCCTACCTTAGTCCTATATTAGTTCCTGTATGTTGGAATAAATCGAGATCCTGCTTCCACAGACTCCAGACTCAGTGTGGTTTTTTCTCCCTGGTAACTAATGGGGGGAGGGTCTGAGTCGTCCACCCTCACCATCCCGCTCAGCCCCCAGGAAGAGGCCGGCTGGACCGGCCCTTCCCCCGCTCTACCTGCAGAGAGGACCCTGCATACAGCCACTTTGGAAATCAGTCTGGAGATTCCTCAGGAAAACAGGAATCAGTCTACCACAAGACCCAGCGATTCCACTCAGGCATATACCCAAATGATGCCCATTCATACAACAAGGATGTCTGTTCCACTATGTTCATAACAGCATTATTTGTAATAGCCAGAACTTGGAAGCAACCTAGATGCCCCTCAACGGAAAAGTGGATAGAGAAAATGTGGTACACCTACTCAGTGGAAAAAAAAAAACATTGGAATCTTGAAATTCTTAGGTAAATGGAGGGAACTAGAAGAAACCATACTAAGTGAGGTTACCCAGTCACAAAAAGAGAAACATTGTATGTACTCATTCATATTTGGATTTTAGACATGGATCAGGGGAGTGGCAGCCTACAATCCCATTGCCAGAGAGTCTGGAAAACAGAACCTTCATCCAGCTACCGATGGAAGCAGAGGCAGACACCCACAGCTAAACACTGAACTGAACTCCTGGTAGAGAGGGAGGAGTGATGAGCAAAGGGGTCAAGACAGGGCTGGTTTAACCCACAGAAACAGCTGACCTGTGATGTGGGAAGTCCTGTTATTTGTCAATAAAGCACTGCTGGCAAATAGGAATCTAGATAGGTGGGACTAGGAGTCCAGGAGGACTCTGGAAAGGAGTAACACAAGAGAGTCGAGATGTAACGTCATGGGGTAGGAAGCCCGGAACTATTCTCCGGTAAGAGAAATACTTAGATTAACAATTATGGGGTAATTACTTACGTCAGAGCTAGCTAGTAAGAAACAAGCAAGGCCAACGGCCTCATAATTAATATAGTCTCCTGTGTGTTTATTTGGGACTGATGCGGCTCTAGAACCATGCTGGCGGGAAGGCTTCACTCAAGGAAAAAGCTTCTCTTTACATAATGGTTGTCAGAAGCGGGATTGAATTTCCACGCAAAATAACAAAAGCTTTAAAGGAATTTTAGGAACAGAAGAACAGAGAGAAGCACAGATTTTGATAGCAGCATTTTTCTCAGGTGTTTTGCTAGCGACAAGCCGAGATTCACGTGGCTGGCTTACCGGAGTCTTCCTGACTCGACATAAACAGCAAGGTTCTTTTAAGAGACTCTGCTAATGATTGAAAGGTGTGTACGTACAGCTGGAAGTGGCAGCTAAGCCATGCAAAGATGGAAAATACACAGAGTCTGGATACTGTACGCTATTGTGTTTTTCAGTTTTTTGATTGCTCAGGAAGGAACAGCTGCTAAAGTGCACTTGATTATAAATGCTGCTGAACTAATCCAACTTCTATCTTTTGAAAGTGCCTTAACTTCAAAATTTAAGTATAAGGATATGTTACTTGGAAAAGGAGTTTTTATTTATGTTTCTACAGAAAATGAAAAGCTGAGGATTCCTTCCAGGCTTCTGTGGTTTGATCAACCAAGACCCCCGGAAGCAGTGGACCAGGTGTTCCAACAATTGAAACAGCTAAGATGATGCAGTCTTACAGACCCCGAAAATACAGACTTATACAGGTTTCTGAGTTTTGTCATGATCCCCATGGTATGAACAGCGCCCCCTTCCAGCATGAAGCAGTTTGGAATGAGCGACGTCCTAATTCCTATCTTGTTTATAAATATTTGTTTTCATTTATATGGGATTATTTATAATTGGTTAATGATCACAGCCAATCTCTTTTTAATGGTACAAAGGGGAATTATGGTATGGGTATGGTTTTTCATTTATTGATATAAATTCAAGGTCAATTTTGTGATGTGTATATTTCTCCTCTTGATTAAGTATTGTGCTTATACTGATCTTTTAAAACGTAATGCATAATTGAATACAGACTATAGATAGTTACTTATAATAGAATTTATAGTTAGGTAAGTTAGGTTTTCTAGATATACAGATTTATATTTGAGATAAATAAACAGTCTTCAAACCTCTCAAAGACCTTCAGAAAATGGCTTTTAAAATGGTTTAGGTTTTTCTTGACAATGAGAAATGTCTGCTCCTGGCAGCACCAATTACGTCTGAGAGGAAGATTGGCATCGAAGAAACTCGTTATGGAGTTTGCTTTCAACATGGCAAGATTAGCCATTTGGGCAAGAAACTGCTCTTGCCTAGATTGTTTGACTATTGCTGTATAAACTGGACATGCAGGACCCACAGGAAAGTGACTGCTGAACTCAGTCTTACAGGGTTCCTGCTTCATGGAAGAGTCTAAGAGACTTTCTGCAGGACAAAGAAAAATGACTGACAGACTGCCAATGCAGATAAACAGTCTGAAATTTCTTGCTTTGCTGAGAAGTGTTCCAGACACATTGTGGTCTATGGGCTGAAGATGGATGCCCCAATGTTACAGAGGAACTTCGGGTGACTGTCCAGGCAGTAAGATGTCTCTGTCAATCCTAGTGTTTATATATTACCCTTCTGTGGTCTTTGATGGAGTTGAAGACAGATAGTTATAATTATAGTTTTCCTTAGTTATGATAAAAGATAAGCTACATATGGAACTTTAGACTCACAAGAATGGGATGGATGATATTTTCTTTAAATCTTGCTAAATGTTGGTAGACAAAATATTGTAACTATGTTCTTACTTGATAACTGTTCTTTTATATATAATTTGACTATGTTAAAGTTAAGACCTTTCTTTTTGTTTAAACAGAAAAGAGGAGATGATGTGGAAGTCCTGTTATTTGTCAATAAAGCACTGCTGGCCAATAGGAATCTAGATAGGTGGGACTAGGAGTCCAGGAGGACTCTGGAAAGGAGTAACACAAGAGAGTCGAGATGTAACGTCATGGGGTAGGAAGCCCGGAACTATTCTCCGGTAAGAGAAATACTTAGATTAACAATTATGGGGTAATTACTTACGTCAGAGCTAGCTAGTAAGAAACAAGCAAGGCCAACAGCTTCATAATAAATATAGCCTCCTGTGTGTTTATTTGGGACTGATGCGGCTCTAGAACCAAGCTGGCAGGAAGGCTTCACTCAAGGAAAAAGCTTCTCTTTACAGACCTGAACAAGGGGAGAGCTCTTGGACCCCAGACTCATGGCTGGGAATCCAGCATGGGACTGATACAGACCCCCAAAGTGTGAGAGTCAATGAGGAGGCCTGGGCAACCTATGGGGCCCTGGGCAGTGGATCAGTGTTCTTCCCTGGCATACAAACGGACTTCGTGTGTCCATAACACAAAGAGAGATGCTCTCTCAGCCTGGACTCTTGGGGGAGGACCTAGGCCCTGCCCTGAACGAAATGACAGATTCTGGAGATTCCCCATGGAGGGCCTCACCCTCCCTGGGGAGCAGATTGGGGATTGGGTGGGGGCTTGGTGGGGGCTGGGGGAGGAGGTGAGGGAGAGGGAGCTGGGATTGACATGTGAAACAAGCTTGTTTCTAATTTAAATAAAATAAGATAAAAAAAGAAAAAAAAACCACCACTTTGCCCGCAGAACCCCAAATAAATCAGAGGAGTCAATACATAGTTGCACAAACAGCATTTTAGTTTTGAAGTTAATTAGAGATTAGGGGTGGCAGAGTTCCTGAGGTTAAACTCGAGCAGATGCTACATCTCTCTTAGAAGTGGTGGCTCGGCATAAAAGCCTTTGGCTTTAGGCGAAGTAGAAGTGGTTCAGTGGAGATATACCGGAACACGGCTAATGAGCCTTCATTTGTTGCTCGCTTGCAGAGCTCACCAGGCAGCAAAAGATGCAATGCTGTTTGGATATCTCTTGTGGTGATACTTGTTTTTTTGGTGTGACGGATCAAGTCGCTTGCTTCTGTCATGATTCTTTCAAACATATCCTTCACGAATGAATCCAAGATGCACACGGATGTTTGGGAGAGGGTGAATCCCTCATGGACATTTCGTAGCACCCTCGAAAAATAGATGGAGAAACTATCCATATGGCGTCTGATGTGGCGTGCGGCTCTGTGCTGCTCATCTGTCACGCGTCGAGAGCGACGTCGCTTCATCAAAATAAAATTTTTAGGCCTTCGAACCTTGACAGTTTTCTCAATTATGTCGAAAGCTTCTTCTCCTACAGCTATTGGCTCCTCCACAGGGATTGGCTCCTCCACAAAGGACATCTCCACAGAGATTGGTTCCTCTCCAGAGGCCATAGCGGAGGCACCTGCCATGGCAGCTGAGGAAGCAGCAGTGACCAGAAGGCAGAAGACAGAGGTTTTTGAGGTGAGTTATGTACTATGAGCATGCCATTATGACATGTGAGAGACCAACTTGGCATCTGATTGGACAGCAAACCTGTCACAAATCTATTATACGTATTGAGTATGATTGGCTGGCGCCTCGGCCTGGCAACACATTACCCAATCAGAATGGGCACGCAATGTGATTCACGAATCTTCTCGTTCACAACTGGAACCCTGGAACTTCTAGCTTCTCAATGAGAAGAAGATGCCCATGAGCACTTTAAAATATTTTAGGATCACGTCATTATAGAATCATTGGTATCACACTATTAGGTCCTTGAAAGACACAACCGAAAGCAAAAATGTCCTTAAAGTGCATATATTTCAGTCTGGCACCTTTCAAGAGCCTGAGTTCAGTAATTCAAGTCTCATAAATTATTTTAAGCGAGTTAGGACCATTACTCACTCTTTTTAAAAATTGTAATACATATTTTTTGAAGCCATAATTACATCATTCCCCCTTCCATTTCTTTCACCAACTCTGTCCACACATCTCCCCACTTTCTCAAATTTGTGTGCTCTCTGTCTCAGATTCAGGGCTTCTTTTTTGTTGTTACACACAGAGAGATATACATGCACTTTATATATGTGGGTATCTATATATTCATATATATTCATGTATGTATGTACATGTATATGTATATATATATTGTATGTATTCCTAAATACTACAGATACACATATATATGCATATATTCCTAAAAACATGTGTGTGTGTGTGTGTGTGTGTGTGTGTGTGTGTATGTGTCTTCTAAGGAAGCTGCCTTTCATACGGAATTTAGTATGCACAAAATTTATTCAGGATACAGGCCCAAGGAAAGGGTAAAAGACAGAAAGAAGCCACTGTTGGCAGAAGCATCTCTGTATCATTTTTTTTTGTTGGTTTATTTTGTTTTTCTTTTTTTTATTTATTTTTAAGTTTAAGTTTAGATAAGAAACAAGGTTGCTTCACAAGTCAGTTCCAGGTCCCTCTCCCTTTCTCTCCCCTCCTCCTGTGCCCTCCCCTCCCCCACGCCCTCCCCCAAACCCCCATTATCCCCTCATTTCCCCAGGGAGGGTGAGGCCACCCATGGGGGTGTCCAAAGTCTGTCATTTCACCCAGGGCAGGGCCTAGGCCCTCCCTCAACAGTCCAGGGTGAGAGTGCATCTCACATTGTTGGATGGGAGTCCAAAGTCCCTGTGTATACTCGGGATGAATACTGATCTACTGCCCAAGGCTCAATAGATTACCTAGGCCTCCTCACTGACACCCACATTCAGGGGGTCTTGATCATTCCCATGCTGGATTCCCAGGCTCATGCCTGGGATTCAAGAGTTAACCTTTGTCAGGTCAGCTGTTTCTGGGGGGTTAAACCAGCCCAGTCTTAATCCCTTTGGTCATCAGTCTTCCCTCTCTGTCACTGGATTCCTTGAGTTCAGCTCAGTGTTTAGCTGTGGGAGTCTGCCTCTGCTTCCATCAGCCACTGAATGAAGATTCTGTTTCCCAGACTCTCTGGCCATGGGATTGTAGGCTGGTGCTCCCCAGATCTATGTCGAAAATCCATATATGAGAGAGTACATACCATGTTTCTCCTTTTGTGACCGCGTTACCTCACTCAGGATGGTTTCTTCTAGTGTCATCCATTTGCCCGCAAATCTCAGGATTCCATTGTTTTTTTCTGCTGAATAGTACTCCATTGTGTAAATGTACCACATTTTCTCTATCCACTCTTCGGTTGAGGGACATTTAGGTTGCTTCCAAGTTCTGGCTATTACAAATAATGCTGCTATGAACATAGTGGAACAGACATCCTTGTTGTATGAATGGGCATCTTTTGGATATATGCCTAAGAGTGGAGTTGCTGGGTCTTGTGGTAGGTTTATTCCCATTTTTCTGAGGAATCTCCATACTGATTTCCAAAGTGGCTGAACCAGTTGGCACTCCCACCAGCAATGGAGGAGTGTCCCCCTTTCACCACATTCTCTCCAGCATAAATTGTCGTTGGTGTTTTTGATTTTAGCCATTCTGACAGGAGTGAGATGGTATCTCAGAGTTGTTTTGATTTGCATTTCCCAGATGGCTAAGGATGTTGAGCACTTTCTCAAGTGCCTCTCAGCCATTTTAGACTCCTCTATTGAAAATTCTCTATTTAGTTCTGCAGCCCACTTTTAATTGGATCCTTTGGTGTTTTGGAGACTTGCTTCTTGAGCTTTTTGTAAATTTTGGAGATCAACCCTCTGTCAGATGTGGGATTAGTGAATATTTTTTTCCCATTCTGTGGGCTGCCTTTTTGTCTTGCTGACTGTGTCCTTTGCCTTACAGAAGCTTCTCAGTTTCAGGAGGTCCCATTTATTAATTGTTGATCTCACTGTCTGTGCTACTGGTGTTATGTTCAGGAAGCTGTCTCCTGTACCAATTCGTTCAAGGGTACCACCCACTTTCTCTTCTAAGAGGTTCAGTGTGGCTGGATTTATGTTGAGGTCTTTGATCCATTTGGAATTAAGTTTTGTGCATGACGATAAACATGGATCGATCCGCATTCTTCTACATGCCAGCCTCCAGTTATGCCAGTACAATTTGTTGAAGATGCTTTCTTTATTCCATTGTATATTTTTAGCTTCTTTGTCAAAGATCAGATGTTCATACGTGTGTGGGTTAATATCCGGGTTTTCAATTCGATTCCATTGGTCTACCTGTCTATTTTTGTGCCAATACCAAGCTGTTTTCAGGACTATAGCTCTATAATAGAGCTTGAGGTCAGGGATGGTGATGCCTCCGGACGTTGCCTTGTTGAACAGGGTTGTTTTGGCTATCCTGGGTCTTTTGCTTTTCTATACAAAATTGATTCTTGTTCTTTCAAGGTCTGTGAAGAATCGTGCTGGGATTTTAATGGGGATTGCATTGAATCTGTAGATTGCTTTTGGCAGGATTGCCAGTTTTACTACATTGATTCTACCTATTCAAGAGCATGGGAGGTCTTTCCATTTTCTGAGGGCTTCTTTAATTTCTTTCTTTAAAGATTCAAAGTTCTTGCGATACAGGACTTTCACTTGTTTGGTTAGCGTTACCCCAAGGTATTTTATGTTGTTTGTGGCAATTGCAAAGGGTGATGTTTCTCTGATTTCTCTTTCAGCCCTTTTATCATCTGTATATAGTAGGGCTACTGATTTTCTTGAGTTGATCTTGTAGCCTGCCACTTGCTGAAGGTGTTAATCAGCTGTAAGAGTTCCCTGGTAGAGTTCTTTGGGTCATTGATGTAAACTATCATATCATCTGCAAATAGTGAAAGTTTGACCTCTTCCTTCCCAATTTGTATCTCCTTGATCCCCCTTTGTTGTCGTATGGCAATGACTAGAACTTCAAGTACCATGTTGAAAAGGTATGGAGAGAGTGGGTAGCCTTGTTTTGTTCCTGATTTTAGAGGAATTGCGTTGAGTTTCTGTCCATTTAATTTGATGTTGGCTGTTAGTTTGCTGTATATAGCTTTTATTATGTTTAAGTATGTCCCTGTTATCCCAGATCTCTCCAAGACTTTTATCATGAAGGGGTGTTGGATTTTGTCAAAGGCTTTTTCTGCATCTAGTGAGATGATCATGTGATTTTTGTTTTTCAGCTTGTTTATATGGTGGATTACGTTGATGGATTTTCGTATGTTGAACCATCCCTGCATCCCTGGGATGAAACCTACTTGATCAATGTGAATGATTGTTTTGATGTGTTCTTGGATCCGATTTGCCAGTATTTTATTGAGTATTTTTGCATCAATGTTCATGAGGGATATTGGTCTGAAGTTCTCTTTCTTAGTTGTGTCTTTGAGTGGCTTGGGGATCAAGGTTATTGAAGCCTCATAGAAAGAGTTTGGCAAAGACCCTTCTGCTTCTATTATGTGGAATACTTTGAGAAGAATTGGTATAAGCTGTTCTTTGAATTTCTGGTAGAATTCTGCACTGAGGCCATCTAGACCTGGGCTTTTTTTGTTTGGGAGACTTTCGATGACTGCTTTTATTTCCATAGGCGTTATAGGTCTATTTAAATTGCTTATCTGTTCTTGATTTAGTTTTGGCAAGTGATAGCTATCCAGGAAGTCGTCCATTTCCTTTAAATTTTCGAATTTTGTGGAGTTCAGGTTTTCAAAGTATGACCTGATGATTATCTGGATTTCCTCAGAGTCTGTTGTTATGTCCCCCTTTTCATTTCTGATTTTGTTAATTTGAATGTTCACTCTCTGCTGTTTGGTAAGTTTGGACAAAGGTTTGTCTATCTTGTTGATTTTCTCAAAGAACCAACTCTTCATTGCATTGCTTCTTTGTATTGTTTTCCTAGTTTCTACTTTATTGATTTCAGCCCTCAATTTGATTATTTCCTGGCGTCTACACCTCCTGGGGGAGTTTGCTTCTTTGTGTTCTAGAGCTTTCAGCTGTGCTGTTAATTCTCTAGTATAACAATTCTCCAGTTTTTTCATGTGGGCACTTAGTGCTATGAACTTCCCCCGTAGCACTGCTTTCACCGTGTCCCATAGGTTTGGGTATGTTGTGACTTCATTCTCATTGAATTTGAGGAAGTCTTTAATTTCTTTTTTTATTTCTTCTTTGACCCAGGAATGGTGCAGTTGAGCATTATTCAATTTACATGAGTTTTAGGTTTTCTGCAATTTGTGTTGTTGTTGAATTCTAATTTTAAAGCATGGTGGTCTGATAAGATGCATGGAGTTATTCCAATTTTTTGGTAGCTGCTGAGGTTTGACATATTGCCCAGTATGTGGTCGATTTTTGAGAAGGTTCCATGTGGTGGTGAGAAGAAGGTATATTCTTTTTTATGTGGATGAAATGTTCTATAGATGTCTGTTAATCCCAGTTGGGTCATTACGTCTATTAGACACTTTGCTTCTTTTTTGAGTTTCTGTCTGGAATTCCTGTCTAGTGGTGAGAGTGGTGTGTTGAAATCTCCCACTATAACTTTGTGTGGGGCTTTATATGTGATTTAAGTTCTAATAATGTTTCTTTTA